TCAATTTGGAGCATTCCAGGAGGAGGATGGTGGAAGTGGGATCGCTATCCGAAGGGGACGCCTGTGGGATCCTCGTGCCAGCTCTGTCCCTCTTGTGCCTCTGTATAAAAAAGCATGATTTGCACTGAGGTTTGGCATCTCCTGTGTCGTGATGCACACACACACACACACAAAACCTATGGACACCAGGGTTTATGAAACGCTGTTCTTCCAAAGGCTCATGCTGGTTCTCCTCTAAGAGTAATGAGAATTATGATAATGAGCAGTACTCTGAGAAAAGAGTAATGAGAACAATTCATTAGTGGAATGGCTTGCCTTCAGAAGTGGTAGGTGCTCCTCACTGGACGTTTTCAAGAAGAGATTGGACAGCCATTTGTCTGGAATGGTAGAGGGTCTCCTGTTTGAGCAGAGGGGGTTGGACTAGAAGACCTCCAAGGTCCCCCCTTTTCTAACCCTTGGAATTTAGTCAACTTTCTATTCTTGATTGTCTTGCTTGCTCTTTTTCTCTTTCTAGGACCTGTTTGTACGCATTACCCAAAGTGGCCGAGAAAGTCAACTAAGAAAAGGTAAGTGCCCGTTGGAGGAGACTATGGAAGTATGAAAGAATAGGAATAGAATAGAGTTAGAAGGGACCTTGGAGTCCAGCCCCCTGCTTAAGCAGAAGAACCTATACCACTTCAGATAAGTAGCTGTCTAGTCTCTTCTAAAAACCTCCAGTGTTGGAGCACCTGCGATTTCTGGTGGCAAGTTGTTCCACTGGTTAATTGTCCTCTCTGTTAGGAAGTTTCTCCTTAATTCAAAGTTGCTTCTCTCCTTGGTTAGTTTCCATTTATTGTTTCTTGTCCGGCCATCCAGCACTTTGGAGAATAATTTGACCCCCTCTTCTTTGTGGCAGCCCCTCAAATACTGGAATTCTGCTATCACGTCACCCCTAATTCTTCTTTTCTCTAGACTAGCCAAGCCCAAAACCTGCAGCTGTTCTTCATATATGTTTTAGTCTCCAGGCCTTTGATCCTCTTAGTTGCTCTTCTCTGAACTTTTTCCAAAGTCTCAACGTATTTTTTATAGCATGGTGGCCTTTTAGTTCAACCCTCTTCCCCAGGCAGGAGTCCTCAGACTATCTCAGAGAAGCACATTAAAGAGACCCGATCTGTAACGAAGAAGAAATTTCCTGACAGGGAAAACAGTTAATCAAAGCTTGCCTCCTGGAATTGTGGAGGTTTGCAGGAAGAGAACAGCCACACGACTAGGATGGTAGAAGGCTCCGACCTTGAGGAAGGGGTTTGATGAGAAGACCTCCCAGGTCCCTTCCAACTCTTGTTTATTAGTCTATCTTCTAAATCGGAAGAAGATGGCTGATAGTGCATCCCCCAAAGGATGGAATGCCCAAAGAGTAAATACTGGGGTGTGTGTGTGGGAGGGGAATGGAAATTCAGTGCCTTTCCAAATACAGGCAGTCATTGACTTACAACAGTTCATCTAGTGACCGTTCAAGGTTACAAGACCACTGAAAAAAAGTGGCTCATGACCGTTTTTCACACCACCGTTACGGCCTCCCCATGGTCAGGTGCTTAGCGACAGACTCATATTTATGACTGTTGCCGTGTCTCTCAAGGGTCACGTGATCCCCTTTTGCGACCTTCCGACGAGCCAAGTCAACGTAGAATCCAGGTTCACTTAAAAACCACGATGCTAATTTAACAAGAGCGACGATTCACTTAGCAACTGCGGCAGGAAAGGTCATCCAATGGGGCAAAAAACATGTCTCACTTAGCCACAAAAAAAATGGGGGGGGGGGGCTGAATTGTAGTCGCACGTGAAGGACTATCTGCATCTGCAGATCCTGTGGACAGCAAAGCAAAGGCCTGCGTCGATCCTCCAAAACGGTGGAAAACTTCCAGTTCTCTCCCTACAGCTTCTGTGGTTCTACTCGATTCTTGAGAAGATTCCTCAAGAGATTTGCACTTTTTTAAAAAAAGAGATTAGCTAAGCTTTGTCCCTACAGACTAATCTGACAAGAGTCTTTCAGATTTGGCACCCCCTTTGTCCTTTCTTTTATATTTAAATAGGTCTATAACTGCCTTTCCTCATAGAATGCCAGGCTGGTGTAGGAAACACCATGTCAATAAAACCTAGCATAATAAACCATGCCAATAATAAAACCACATCAACTGCAGCGGGATAAAAGCAGGAAAGGCGTATAATTGTTCACTCGGGTCAACCAGTTTTATAAAAACATGTTCTGCTGCCCAAGCAAATAAATAGGTTGCGAACTGGCGTCGCAGAGAACGCTTTTCAGGTGTGGTTTTGGTGGCTTGCCATATCTTTGGAGGAAGAAAACTCCTTTTTGGGGGGGACAAAAATGAGGCTCGCGGAGGAGAGTCGATCCAAGTTGTAGATTGTTCTGGGCTGCACACACAATGGTGAAGGGACAAAAGGCGGAACTCGTGTCTTGCCATCGAACCTGGGAAGGATTTCTTGTCCTTTTTGATTACAGGCAAATGCAGAGACCCCTACACCAAACAGGCCTACAATTGGAAGGAGAGTTGGCTCCGCCGCGTCAAAGAGAGAACGGAGTATTGTCGGTGTGAGAACAGCGGCATCTTCTGCCATGCAGTCCCTGTCAGAGGTGAGTTCCACGTGGGGCTTATAAATCCAGCGATGGCATTTATTGATTAGGTTTCTAACCCACCTTTATTTTGTACATGGTACATATAGTCCATAAAGCTTCATGGATTCCACCAAATGGCCAACTTGGGAGCTCAAACCAACAGCCCATAAAGCTTCATGTTCCTATATTCGACACAGCAGCAATTCTGTTGGGCGGAGAGGGAGGGTGTGGCCCACAGCCTGCAAAAGGGTTTCCATGATGTCCTACTGGCATCCTAATGGGCCACCACTTAAGTATTCCAGTACCTAAGGGGCTGCCACAAAGAGAATAAGGGAGGAATTAAGGTGCTGTTATTTTCTGTCCCACAGGCTGCATAAAGCCACTTTGCCTCCACGGGGGCCGCTGCCAGAAAGCCTTGTATTCCCCCAACCTTTTCATTTGCTTCTGCCCACCGGGCTTTTCGGGGAAGTTCTGTGAAATTGGTGAGTATGTGACAAGAGGATGAACCGATACGCAGGTCAGGCAGTTCAAGATGTATGTATTCAAGATGGACAGGGATTAATATTTATATGTATTTATAAGTGAGGGTGTAGGTATATCGCATAGGGGTGTTACGTATGTCTACGCTTTTGAGAGCAGGCAACAGAATTTCATTTTTAATGTGTGCCAGTGTGCCCACAGCAAAAAAAAACAACAAAAAACGACAATAAGGGTGATCTGATCTTATCTAGTTCAAACAAATATAAAGGTTTTATTGCAAACTTGTACTCCCTACAAGAATTTGAACTACAAAACAAATTAGCGTTAGATCAGAATCAGTGGAACTGGCTGGACTTAGATCTCTTGTGGGCACGCAGGGACTCGTGACTGATGACGTGTTTGACTCCTCCCTCGGGCTCAGCCTGGGCATCTACAATGTGCCATCTAGGAAGCCAGTGGTGGATTTTCACCCGTGCTGCGTCCCCTCTAGCTTTGCAGACTCCACTTTTGTAAGTGCAGCACTCAGAGTAAATACATATAACGGCAGCTGCGTACGCCAGATCGTATCTAATGTTAGCAATAAAAAAGGGACCAGGCTAGAGGAGCTAATGGAAACCTAATGTCAGATCTAGTCTGTCCTCGGACACAAATATTATTCCAGTTGTTGATGCTAGCCTTCAAAAGAAGAAGAAAAGAAGGATCTGCTTCCAGTGAATTTGTTGCTTCTCGCTTGCTTTGAAAAGCAAGGAAGCTGTAGGGTGGAGTCAGTTTCGTGCAAGTTCTCCAGCTGTGCTTCTCAACCTTGGGCATCTTAAGATGGGTGGACTTCAACTCCCAGACATCCCCAGCAAACATGGCTGAGAGTTGACATCCGCCCATCTTAAAGTTGCCACGGTTGAGAAAGACTGCTCTACAGCCATGCTGGTTGAGGAATATTGGGAGTTGAAGTCCGCAAGTCTTAAGACGGCCAACTTTGGAGACCTCTGGTCTACAGTTTGAATTTTCTGCACTGCCTCCAGAAGGTGCGTGGCGCCTTCTCCGGAGCCAGTTTGGAAGAGACTCAGAGGAATGTTCGTTCTCTCCCTCTTCAGATACCAGAGCTATGTGTTACCAGGATGGAGGGGACACATACAGGGGGACATGGAGCACAACGGAGAGTGGTGCGGAATGTGTGAACTGGAAGACCAAAGCTTTGCGCTTCAAAGGGTTCCTCCACGCAGATCGCCCAGACGCCTTGCAGTTGGGGCTTGGTGATCACAATTATTGCCGGTAAGAGGCCGAATCCAGCAGCTTGTGTGGTCTGTCTTCTCCTTCCTTGTATCGTTGACATTTTGGAGAGGAGCTGAGTAGTTTTATAGCTGTCTTTCTCAGTCTTGGGAACATGAAGCTGTGAGGACTTCAGGCCAGTCTGCAGCTCCTTCAGTTCCATGGCTAGCTGGGGGATTCTGGGAGTGGAAGTCCACAGAGCTTAAAGTTGCCACGGCTGGGAAACGCTGGCTTACAAGAGCCAAGAATGTTTGATAGCATCTTTTTTGACGAACGAGTTTTATTAAAAAGTATGAAGCGTAAGCTACTGCAGACAGAAATGTATTCTTGGAATTAAATACATTGCTCAGAAAAATGCTAAGATAAATCATTCTCTGATTAATGAACAGGTTTATAAAAGTATCTCAATTAAAGAAGGACACTGGAAATAATACAATACTGGGATATGTTTTCTTAGGCATAGTCCTTAAATCCACTTATGAATTGCTTTATTATGCATTATTTATTCTACAATCCTTCCTTCCTTCCTTCCTTCCTTCCTTCCATCCATCCATCCATCCATCCATCCATCCATCCATCCATCCATCCATCCATCCATCCAATAGACTCACAAACACAATCCTGAATGTTCTATCATTGTCTTCTTTAGAAATCCAGATAAAAGCTCAAAACCCTGGTGCCACGTTCTTAAAAGAAATGTGTACGTCTGGGAATATTGCAGCATTATGTCCTGCGCCGACGGTAAGCTGAAAGCCCTTATATTCAAAGCCTTTATGTTTACTGAAATACAATGCTGTTCCTAAGCGGGGCTAAAAATGGGATTAGTTACTCCGAGCTTTTCATTTCAAAACAAACAATTGTTGTTCCTCTATTTCTCTTCTGGAATTGCAAACCCAGATTTGGAAGAGGTTCCATTTTGTGGTTTATTTATTCATGCCTTAGTCAATAATTGACTAAGTTATGAGTAGAGAGGTATAATATGTGAGGCTCACCTCACATATGTTGGCGTGGCAGGTTGGAGAACTTTTGAATTTTCAGATGGACTTGTTTTAGGACTTACGTGGCTCTTTTAGGCTATTTCCCATCTTCAGTCATGTCTGAGTTGGGATCCCTCTGATCATTCGAGTATTGGCCCCTACTTCAGCTAAGGACCTGTTGGGAACTAGCCAGGCAGGGTGGAGGGCTCAAGCAAGGAATTAGCCTAGAATCGTAAACAATCCAAAATTGACCTTCCCTAAGTTCCATGGAACCTTATCTAACTATTCCCAAGCAAAGGCTACCAATCTGGGGTGATTCCTATATTATTGGCTTGCATCTGACAGGATCTTTCCCTATGTTCAGCCTATGGCAATACTCCCCCAAATCAATACCCTGTTTCTCCAACAATATGGCCTCCCCCAATAGGAAGTCCCAGCATGTTTTGTAGGCATGAAATGAAATTAAGCCCCTCCCCCCAAATTAAGGCCTATATTAAAACATGTGAAATGGGGGGGAATGGTGGGGGGGCTTGCCGTTAGGAAGTACTTTTGTTGCATACCCAGATATGGCGCTGCCTGCGTTGACCCCGATACGAAGTGCCCCACCAACGCCGAGGTCAACATCCAAGCCATCGCTGCCCGCCTGCCCGAAGATGCAAGGGGGGGGGGAGAAATTAAGTCACCCCCCGAAAAGACGGCCTAGCCGTTTTTTCGGGGCTCAAAAAAACAACAACACCCAGCCTTATTATATGAGAAACACGGTAGAAGGGGGTTTCCAAACTAAACAATGAAAAAAAAATGGGACTTTCTCCATCCAACCTATCCCTTTTCCGATCCTTTGCCGCAGAAAAACATTCCTGTGTTTTGGGAAGAGGCACCGACTATCGGGGCAGCCACCACCAAACAGCATCGGGGTTGACGTGTCTGAGATGGGACTCCCACCTCATTGACAAGAATGTTTACAATGCCATCCATCCCGATGCCCATCAACTAGGCCTCAGCAGCCACAACTACTGCAGGTGAACCAGAAATGTCTATGTTGAATCTTTATCGCTGCCCAACTCAACCAGGTGGGCTTTGGATGACGGAATCTCCGTTGAATGTTCTTTGGAATATGGCACCCGTTGGGCCACGGGGGAGGAAGTTGGGGCAGGGGTGGTGGTTGTGCCTTGTCCTGAGTATTGAGATTTGGGGACATTTCCTTGGCTCATTTGGAGGCTTGGCAACTGGCATGTCCTTATGACGGTTGCAGTCTCCCAGGGGCATGCAACCTTCTGCCAAGCAAACTCAACGGAGAAGGCAGATTCAATTCACGACCGTGTTACTAACTTAACAACCTCAGCGATTCACTTAACAACTGTGCCAAGAAAGGTTGCACAATGGGGCAAAACTCACTTAACAACTGTCTTGATTACCAGGGGGTAATTTGGGGGTGAATTGTGATCGTAAGTTGAGGACTACCTAGACGAGGAGATCTTGCAGTCTTCCCAACCTTCCCACTTCTTGTGTGTTACAGGAATCCTGACAATGACACTCAGCCGTGGTGCAATATATTCAAGAATGGCGTGACAAAATGGGAACATTGTGACGTGCCAGTCTGCTGTAAGTGGGTCCTTTCTCTGATGTATCTGAGGCTCTTCTTCACAGGGATTATGGCCAATGCCTTATGCTGGGAATGGAGAACTAATTGATCTCAAGATGTTGCTGAACCACAAATCCCAAGAGCCCCTGATGGCGTGAGCAACATTGGGCCGCCTACAGCCTACCCGTTTTATTATACTGACTACATTCAGCATCTGAGGATCATGCAACAGGTCTTGGACACCGTATAGAAATGCTTCAATCCTTGTTATGGTTGCCTCTTCCAAGGAATTGTGGGAATTGGAGCTTGCGGAGGCCATGGAGGAAACCCTCCAGACCTCCAGGTCTCTACAAGATGGAGGAGAACGCCTTCCTTTGGTAGCTGGGAGAACGTGGGAGAGGCCTCATGCAGATGGACGGGCACAGGATGTCCTAGATTTAAAACATAGAACAGAATAAGATGGGAAGGGACCTTGGAGGTCTTCTAGTCCAGGTCCCAGCCCATGGCAGGAGACCCATTGGAACAATTCCAGACAATTGGCTGTCCAATCTCTTCTTAAAAATCTCCAGTGATGGAGCACCCACAACTTCTGGAGGCAAGTTGTTCCACGGATTAATGTGTCTCACTGTCAGGAAATTTCTCCTTAGTTCTAGTGTGATTTTCCCCACAATATATTATATAATACATACCGTATTATACAATATTGAATCCAGACAGGGTTGTATTTTCTGTCCATAGAGGATGAATTTGTACAATATGTGAGACGAGATTCGAAGGAGTTGGTCATTTGTGGTCAAGTGTAACGTGGGAGCTGGGCCACCTCCTGCAATTAAGTGATCCAGGCGTAGCATGTTTTGTGAATAGAACAATTGTGCTCCCAGATTTAGCCAGTTGTGTGAACTCAACCAGTGAGTCATTTCAGGATATGGCTTCATCCAGGACCTCTACCAGCATTTGATATGATGGGCAAGCCACAGCAGAAGGCCCACCGGTGACCTCTGAACCCCTTGTTGATGTGGTCCCCTTTCTCCCTCATCCAGACTTCTTGTAACTAGGGATTCTTGGTTGCTCTCTGAGCTTGTTTTCTTGCATTGTTTCGTTACCCAAACTAGGTAACAACGTCAGTGCTAGTAAGGAGTAGTGGGGTTTAGTTTATATTCTAGTGGCTTGCCCTCTCAGTGTTGGTGCAGGTGGTCTTGGAGCTTCCTTGGTTGGGCTGCTTATTGGTAACATGTTTGCCAGTTCATTGATTGGTGTATTGTTCACTTCTCAATTGTGGGTCTGATGTTCATCTTGGAGTTAATCTACGCTCAACTGGGTGCTGATGACTGATGGGGAGATGTTTTGCTCTTTCTGTTCCCTTTTTGACGTGTTAATTATCTCTTTTGCACTGTCAGTAGATATTGTTTATGTCTATGTGTCTATTGATGGCTAATTCGTCCGAGTGCCAGGCTTCTACAGTGATTGTAAACAGATGTTGAGTTTCACTGCTTTGTCACCTCTGAATCTTATTCCTTGGTTTCTTCCTTCCCACGTGCAGCCACTTGCGGGCTGAGGAAGCACAAAGTGGCCGAGATCCAGATCAAAGGAGGTGCATATTCATATATTGAGTCCCACCCGTGGCAGGCGGGCATTTTTGTGAAGAACCGAGGTCTAGAAGGTTATCACTGTGGTGGGATCCTCATCGATTCCTGCTGGGTCCTCTCAGCAGCTCACTGCTTTCCAAAGGGGTAAGTGATCAATATGTGGCTCACTCTCTAGACTTTGGCTAGTCAGCGAGTTCCTGGGTAGCAGAGGATAAATTTAGGGGCAGAGGACCAAACCCATCTAGCCAACATCCTTTGCCTCGCTCAGTGTTCACAGCTTGTTTGGCAGGGATTCTTGCTATTTCCCGGTGACTCCATGGAACTGATTCAGGACCTGTTCTTGCATGCAAGAAAGTTAGTTTCTTTCTTTCTTTCTTTCTTTCTTTCTTTCTTTTTTGCAAAATCTTCACAAGAGGGAGGTTATGTCTCAGGAAGCTGTGGACATCAAGAGCTTCTAAATGATTTGGGGTTCCAAAGAAACTTCATTTTTTCTTTGCAAGCACCGCCATCGTCCTCCAACTCTTGAACCTCCCCAGTTTTTGCATTTGCATTGTCAAAATATTGCAAACATCTTTCAAATCCTACACTGGAGGATCTGCTAGGGCTGTGTAAGGTGCATTGGATTGGAGGGTGTAACGTTCTTAGAACATGAAAAAGATTTCCTGGATCCTCCGCGTAGACATCGATGCTTTTTCACACCCAAATATTCTGCACTGATATTGTCTAAGTTGACTTATCACAGCGAACCATGGTTTACATTAAGCCATAGTTTGTTGCAAATCCAGTGGGCTGGGTTTACAAACTATGGAAACTTGTTTTCACTCAACAGCTCAGCATGAGCTGTAAAAACCTGAGCAGACACTGGATGTTAACACATTTAGAGTTTTCTCTTTCTGCTGTTGGGAGTTTTACAGCCAAGAACTAACCATTCTAGTTGGCTTAACTGTAGTTAAGCCTTCTCTTCCTATTGGGAAGAGAAATGAGAGAGTTGCATTAGGAGGGAAGGCAGGTTGTCCCTGGAAGCTGCCTCTCACCTGTGGTTTTCTGTGCAGGAGCTTTGATCCCCGACGCCTCAAAGTTGTCCTGGGCCGGACATTCCGTGTGAAATCATCCGCCACAGAGCAGGTCTTCCAAGTAGAGAGATACATTACACATGAGAAGTACAACCCCAGGACTTTGGACAACGACATTGGTAAGCTTTTTTTCCTGCTTCCCTCCCAGCCTGGAGGCACAACTTCTGACTTAATTTCCCGTTCAAGCAGGGGGGCTGGACTAGAAGACCTCCAAGGTCCCTTCCAACTCTGTTTTTTCTGAATTCTGGTTCTCATGGGCCTTTTTTTTTTCTCCTTTTGCTCTCTGTTTTGACAGCCCTGCTGAAGTTGAAACACCCTTTTGAAAACTGTGTCACAGAAACTGACAGTGTCCATCCAGTTTGTCTCCCCAAAGCTGGACTCCAGCTGCCCGACTGGACGGAATGCGAGGTGTCCGGATATGGCAAGCACGAAATGTGTACGTGAGAGTCACTTTCACCAGCCGTTTAGAGTTAGAGGACAATCTGGCTGCAGATGGTTTTAGAGTGCAGGACAGGATTTCCAGGGCGGAATTAACCCTGGCTGGAAAGAAAGGCAGCCAATGTTAATTCTTCCCTAAATACTCCAGATGGAGTATTTAGCTGCAGAATATGTTATGTTCATCTTTTAGGGCAGGGGTGTCCAACCTTGGCAACTTTAAGACTTGTGGACTTCAACTCCCAGAATTCCACAAGTCTTAAAGTTGCCAAGGTTGGACAGCCCTGTTTTAGGGCAGGGTGGAATAAAAATCACATTTAAAAAAAAAAAAAAGTCTGATTTGTTTCCAGCAATCCTTGGCATTTCGGGGAGAAGAGGGTCTTGTTGAGAAATTTCTGAGACCAACCTTGTGGGTCATGCCATCTCTGAAGAGCCCTCATCTTTGCTGAAAATGATCTAGGTCAATTTATGGTGAAAACAGACATCTGTCATGTTTTATTCTCCCTAAACAAACAGCTTCTTTCTTCAGAATTTGATGCAGCCGTCGTCCTGTGACTTACATTCCTATCTGGTTACTAATTAGCTGATATGGCTGGACCGTGTTTATATATCCCCGAAGACATCTGCTTTCTGTTAGAGCACATCACATCCTCAAGTCATCTCCTCCTCCTAAGCCTTCCTAGAATTCCCCTTCTTCTCCAATCCCCGTGCGATGATTGTGGCAATTCAGCCTTTTGGTTTAGGAGAATAGAGGTCAGGTTTACCTTTCCAGGTAATCCTCAACTTACAACCTAGTGAGCCATAAAAGGAAGCCCCGTGCTTCAATTAATTCAGAAGACCTGCCTTCATGCAACACTCTAGACTGGATCCCAAGAGTGACTTGTGGGTCAGCATTTTCTGGGACCTGTTGTTTTCGTGACTTGGTTTCACACAGCATCAGTGGTAAAATGCTACCCGGTTTGGACTGGTTTCTCCAAACCGGTAGCAAAAATGGCTACCGGTTATGCCTAACCTGTAGTAACAAAAAGCTCCAACGATCAGCTGAGGAGAAAGAACAAAAGTGCAGGATCATCAAAGCGGTAGGGAAATTGGTAGAATCCCACCACTGCACAGCACACATATTACACATGAAGTTCACACTATGGTGTCTTTGAGCATTCAATATCACGCGGAGGCGGTAGTAGTTTATTAACGAAGAATTAAGGTTGAGCAAATCGTACGAACCCAAGCGCAATATTTATGACGCTCTCTTCACAATGTTCCTTTTTTCCCCCCCAACAGCTTCGCCTTTCCACTCAGAACGCCTGAAGGAAGGACACGTGAGGCTCTATCCAGACAGCTTCTGTACATCTGCACGACTCGCAAATAGGACCGTCACCGAGAATATGTTGTGTGCAGGAGATACGCGACAACTTCACGACGCCTGCAAGGTAACCTCCCAAATGTTAAGAATAACCTTGTAGGGTCAGTCTAAAGGTCCAGCATCCTCTTGAGAGTAGACAACCAGGGATGCTGAAGGCTGAACAGTCCCAGTGCAGAATTCCTCCTGGAACACAAGGATCCAGATGTTTTGGGGTAACTGGCCATTTCTGGAAGTAACACTTTCAGAAAAAGGAGAGGTTTGTGATGCTTTAGACATGCACAAGTCTAAGTAATCCTCAGCTTAGGACCACAATTAAGCCCAAAATTTCTGTTGCTGAGCAAAACAGTGGCTAAGTGAATTCTGCCCTATGTTATCACCTTTCTTGACAGGTTTAGTTTATTGTCATTGCATCTCATACACGAAATTAAATGTACATCATAACTTCAGTGTACATTAGAACTATAAAAATAAAACACGAACACACACCCTTCACGTTCTATGCAATCGAATTGAAAACCCCTGATATTGCATTCATATTGCACGATATACAGTAGAATTCAATATTTTTCAGCCTGTTTGTCCTTGTTTTTATTATCCTGTACCGTCTACCAGATGGTAAATGTTGAAAAAAAAAAAAAAAAAGAGTGCCCAGGATGAGAGGGATCTTTGAGCTTTCCTAAGGCAGCGGGAGCTACCTTGAGTGAATTACCACAATTGTTAAGCAAATCATCACAATTGTAAAGTTAGTTCTATGAATCTGGCTTCCTCGTTGATTTTATATGTCAGAAGGTGGCCAAAGGCAATTACATGATCCCTGGACATCACAACTGTCACAAGTACATACCAGTTGCCAAGCATCCGGATGCTGCAACGGTTGTTGAATGTGGAAAACGCCTAGGAGTCACTTAAAAAAAAAAAAAAGTACCATTGTAACCTTGGATGGTCCTTTCCTCAGAAGAGAAAGCCAGGCGTTGTGGAGCGCTCAGCTGCCGTCTCTCACTCATTCGTTCTCCGACTTCTCTCCCGCAGGGTGACTCCGGAGGCCCCCTGGTTTGTCTGAACGATGGCCGCATGAGGTTAATCGGCATCATCAGCTGGGGGGTAGGCTGTGGCACCAAAAACACGCCGGGCGTTTACACGCGCGTGGTGCGCTACCTGAACTGGATCCAGGAGAACGTCCGTTTCTGAGTCTTCGGGGCTTCCTTGCACCAGGGAATCGCACCCTGGAAACGGGGCTGGGAAGCCGGTATCACTCGGGGTGGGGGGCGGAAGACACACACTTTGTGTGGGGCCCCCCCCTCCTGCAACGACGGTCTGTGCGGCCGGGCTTAGGAACCGGGCTAGAACGATAGTATTGGGGGTTGTTGTTTTTTCCCCCTCCAAGAAGCACTTCTAGACATACCTAAGGCTGGATGCTTACAGGTCATCCTCGGGTTAGGACCACAACGGAGACCAGAATTTTTGTCGCTGAGCGAGACAGTGAAGTGAGTTTTGCCCCGCTTTACGACCTTTCTGGCCACGATTGTTAAGTGAGCCCCTGCGGTTGTTAAGTTAGTAAGCCTGTTGTTAAGTGAATCTGGCTTCCCCGTTGACTTTTGTCTGCCAGAAAGTCGCCCGTGACTCCCCAGAACACGGCAACCATCGTAAATACAAGTCAGTTGGCCAAGCCTCTGGATTTGGATCACGTGACCCTTAGGGAATGCTGCAACGATCCTGTGAGAAACAGTCTTAAGTCCCTTTTTCCAGTGCTGTTGTAACTTCGGTCACTAAATGAACTGTTGTAAGTTGAGGACCACCTGTATTAGTTACAACATCACCTGAGCCCTGCCTCTGCCTCTATAGTCTTCTGGAAAAGTCCTCCTTTGGGGAGACTGAGAGTAGATGGGCCCTGGGCTGGCCCTGGGCTTCCTCAAATATGCCTCCTCTGGTTTATTTTATTTTATTTTTAAATCCTCTTTCTATAAATTAAGGGAAGCATTTCAAGGTCTTTTCTACAAAACTGAAGAAATCCTTGGGGGGAAAACCAATATATATTTATATATATATAAAGGAGGAATCGGTAATCACTTTGCGCACCCCCGTCCCTCCATAAAACTTCAAAGATTATTTTTATACTCTGTAAATATTTCACGTTTTCTGTATAAAATCAAAACCCTGTTTCCCGGTGTGCAGAGTTGACAAGTCTTCTGCTCATCAAAAAGACTATTGGGAATCATCTCCAGTATGTTTTAATGCATTAAACTTTTTAAAATTAAAGTTATCCTCGTTTTGCTTCACACCATACCTGACACACAGTTTGCCTGCTATGTTTCTGTATGATTTACTGGACTATGGCGGGGGAAATTTGAAGGGGGACAGGGGTAAAATGCCCACAGCTGCTTCATATTCTCGAATAAATGACCTTATTTACATGCATCAGATTATACACATATTCTCACAGCAGCTTGTAAAAGACATTTATGCTTGGAGCAGCTGGCTTTAATGGAAAAGGATGTGATTGTCTCTCTGTGTGTGGTCTTTGTCTCTACATAAGATGCAGTTTTTATGTAAAAGTATTTTAGTCTACATACATAATAGTTGTTAGTAATACGATTGTTAAAAACCTCCAATGTTGGAGCATTTGCAACTTCTGGTAGCATGCAGTTCCACTGGTTAATTGTTCTCACTGTTAGGGAATTTCTGCTTAATTCCAGCTTGCTTCTCTCCTTGGTTAATTTCCATCCGTTGCTTCTTGTCTTACCCTCAGATGCTTTGGAGCAGGGGTCTCCAAACTTGGAAACTTTAAGACTTGTGGACTTCAACTCCCAGAATTCTCCAGACAGCTATGCTATGCTGGAGAATTCTGGGAGTTGAAGTCCACAAGTCTTAAAGTTGCCAAGTTTGAAGACCTCTGCTTTGGAGAATGGATTGACTCCCTCTTCTTTGGGGCAACCCCCAAGATATCTGAACAGTGCTATCATGTCACTCCTAGTCCTTCTTTTCATCAAACTAGACATACCCAATTTAAGCAACCGTTCTTCGTATGTTTTCGTCTCCAGTCCCCTAATCATCCTGGTTGCTCTTCTCTGCACTCTTTCCAGGGTCTCAACCTTTTTTTTTTTTTTACATTGTGCCAACTAGAATAAAGAGTAGATGTGAAGGCAGAATCAAAGAAGAATCAAATTGTCAAATTTAATCCACAGGCTAGATGGTCAAGGCCATGACATCAGGGCCAAGTACTCTGCTTCGACTCTTAAGCTCACACAGAATTTGCACATCACGCTGAGCTACCACTCGGTTGTGGTTTATTGAACTACTCACAGTTAATGGAAACAAAGACACCAACAAAAAGTACTGTTTATATGCCACGGGGGTGTGGCTTGCACACATTAACTCAAAATTAAACACAGCCCAGTATGTGCCATTGATCGGGCACCGGGAAGACTCCAGTTCTCCCCGGGGACACGCAATCTCGCAGCTCAACCTTTCTCACAGAACGGCTTTTGTCAGGAGATGCGTGCTGTGATGGTGTGCGGGAATGACCTTGAGAAACACAAGAACCAAATCAATAGAACTGGAAGGGACCTCAGAGGTCTTCTAGACCGGCCCCTTGCTCAAGCAGGAGAACCTATACCATTTTGGACAAGAACCTGTTAATCCCTGCGAAGTAGCCCAGACAAGAAACCTGCCCCAATGAGCACATTCTACTTTGCTGTAAGGTTACATGAACACAATCTTACGAGTGTGAAAGTTCATCTCCTCCCACCCCCTGCTCACCTTTACAGTCCAAGAAACTAGGGTTAGGGTTTGCTCGTTCACTCTGCAAATTCAACTGTTTCTTCTCTGACTATTGTCTGGTCTGTGGCTCTTCCCTCCAAGTTCATTCCTACATAACACTATACAAAAGAAAGGACTACTTATGTAGAGTCATTTGAACTTCTGGAGCTCCTACAGGCATTAAATTTAATAAATAATAAGTCTAGCATAGGGATATCCAACCTTGGCAACTTCAAGACTTGTGGACTTCAACTCCCAGAATCCCCCAATGTTGAAGTCCACAAGTTTTGAAGTTGCCAAGATTGGACACCCTTGGTCTAGCATGTTGTAAGCTCCAGGCTGACACTCAACGTGTGAACTATTTCATCTGGATTTGTTACATTACACTAAGCCATGGTTTATTGGATTGAGAAGTGTGGTTCACACAACACAGCAAGCTATGGCTTGTTTAAGCTAGAGAAGCTGGATCTGCAGAATGAGTAAACCACATAGCTACATAGGTGCATAAATAAATATGCACGAGTAAACCCACATAATACACATGTCTCATGACTTGGAAGCAGTCAAAGCTCAGCCAATGGAAGTTATGGTGAAGGAGAGCATCCTGGGCATGGACTGGCCACCTTCTTGCATCATCACTGTACATACCCAGAAGTTGTAAACTCAACCTCTGGTTAATGCTGGGGGCCACTAAGAGTTGGTGAGCTGGGCTCAAGATCTGTGTGCCAGGTTAGATGCTGCAATAAATGACTGTGGTTGAAGCACACTTGTCAATAAGGGTTTGAAAACCAACTGAGTGAAAAAGTGACCAGCCGGTGTCCAGTAACCTAAGTAAGAATGACGATTTAAAAGAAGGAAGAAAAAATACAAGTTACATCAAGTAGACTGGTATAGCTTAGAGGACAGGGCACAGAGCGTTCAGGGTGCTAAATTAAAACGGGGCAGGGAGCAGAGGATTCACACATTCAATTCCCAGCACCTTCGATGGCTTGAAGTTCCCTTTGAGCCTGTCACTCTCTCCGTCTTGTGACACATCGAGTTTGTTCTTAGGACAGGTTTTATCTGAACGTTTATTCCGTTTACTCAAATTTCTGGTTTTGACCTAAAGCGGGGGGTGTCCAACCTTAGGCGCTTTTAAGACCTGTGGGTTTCAACTCCCAGAATTCCCCAGGCAGCCATGTTATCTGGGGAATTCTGAGCGTCGAAAACGTCCGTTAAGTTTTAAAGTGGCCAAGATTGGACACCCCTGCCCTAAACCATCAGCTAACTGCAGCGGTCAAGTGAATGCAACGTGCTAAGTTCACTGCAATAGGATCATAAATAAAATGCAGGGATGGCGTCGGGCCACATCTGGCAGTGCCAGAACTCAACCGAAGCACTTCAGAATGCAACATTCGACCCTTAAAGAAAGATTAGGGAACCAGAACCCCACTCCTACTCTGATACGTGTCTGGAACAGCCTGGCTGTGGTGATGGAAACGGAGGGTCAAAGGTATGGAGGAACCTAGACGAGGGAAGCTCCCTGGAATATCTAATGGGTTTTTTCAATGACTTGCTACAGGATGTTGGGATTTTCAAGATGGAATACAGAGCACGTATTAAAATGGGAAGACTTGCATCCATTGGACTGTATAACAGAATAAGAGAGTTGAAAGGGACCTTGGAGATCTTCTATCCAATCCCCTGCTTAGGCAGGAAACCCTATACCATTACAGACAAATGGCTGTCCAATCTCTTCTTAAAAACCTCCAGTGGTGGAACATCCACAACTTCTGGAGACAAGTTGTTCTAATGGATAATGGAAGTTTCTCCTTAATCCCAGGTTGCTTCTCTCCTTGATTAGTTTCCATCTATTGTTTCTTGTCCTGCCTTCTGATGCTACGGAAAATATATTGACCCCACTCTTCTTTGTGGCAGCCCCTCAAATACTGGAAGACTGCTATCCTGTCTCCCTTAGTTCTTCTTTTCACTAGACTAACCGTATAAATGGAACCCAGGACATTTCATTCCAAACTGAAGCAAGAATGGTCTTGCCGGGTTCGGTGAAGGCTTTAATTAGTTCCCATCTTCCACACTTGCCCAACGATTTATTTTGCTTATCCTTTCAACGTCCGTGCTGCCTTTCCGCCCCCAGGGCATTCGAGGTGAGTACTAACCGTCTAAAAATAGAAGCGATTTTTGAAGACGGTAAAAACCAACTAGTTATTAGCCCATCTAAATGGCTGGGATGGACAGAAAGCTCTTGAGCTTTGGACCGAAAGTGGGAAGAATGGAGGCTGAGGGCCACTTGTTTTCCCAGCCTTGGTCGTGAACACACCTGGATATCTGCAGGCCCCTTGGAAATGAGCGGCTCACCTCAAAAGAGACATCCTGTAAGAACTGCTCTCTGGTGTGACCCACAAATCTGTCTTGATTCCAAAAACAAGGCTGTCTCTTTTCAGAAGTTCCCTTGGCTTCTTTCACTGGAGAAATATCTTGGGCTTGCATCTCCACCTACTGAACTGGAAGAGATAGTGCATCTTCAGAAGACGCCAGAAATCGCCTCTGAAGCCCAGATGTTTTGCATCAAGGCTGGGGGGGGGGGATTTTTCCCTCTCTTTCCTGGACAACATACCAGACATCCAGCAGGATGTTTTCTCAGCATTCAGAGACAAGATTTTGCTTTTAATTAGCCCAGACCTTTTCCAGAAATCTGTTTTGATCGAGATCATCCTAGGATCAGCGCTTGGAAACAATGGGCCCTTTTGCTAATTTTATATTAAATGGAGCTGGCAAGGAGGCTGTCTCTACACACAAACTGGGATTCTGTTGGAAAGGACCTAAGGCTGCTTCAAGCACCATTTTTCTTCCTCTCTGACTCCAAAGGACCCCAAAAATTTAACCCACCCATTCAGCTACTTTAGCAAACCGCTGCTAGACCTTACAGAAATAGAAGACCTATTAATCCGTCATCTTTACTCCCTCCTATCTCATCCCCCACCCCATACATACACTAGGAGGAAGTTCCTCAGGCATGATAGCCAGCCCTTGACAACCCAACTCTTGCCCCGGGTACTGACTTCCTGATCTTCTGGCCAACCCACCTTCCATAGTTCTCTTCATCAGATCTCAAAACGCAGAACCCCAAAGGGATTTCACTGACTGTTCAGGAAAGTAAATATATTCAGATACTCCGTCTAGGACAGGGCTCTCAAAAACTTGGCAACTTTAGGATTTTGTGGACTTCAACTTCCAGAATTCCCCAGCCAGAGAAGAGAGGGGAGGGGAAGGGAAGGGAGGAGAGGCGTGGAGAGGAGAGAAAAGAAGAGGAGAGAGAAGAGAAGAGAGGAAAGTTGCAAAGTCACTGTGTCCAGAATGTTCTGGCACGGTCAGACACCCTCTGCATCTGCCATCTTGAATGGCAGAACTCCGCTCTTTTGAGTTTGGAGTTTTCCATGGCATTCCAGAAAGGACCTGCCAAATGACCTCTACTTGGATTGGTCTGGAGTTTTTTTTTTTCCTCTCGACGAATGAAACGGAAGCATGTAAACAGGGGTGAGAGTCCGGATCGGAACGGAAACACACACATGGCTCGGATTAAAGAAGAGCGACACCCTGAAACTCTAAGAGAGGTTGCGCCGAAAAAGGGACCGGCAGCTTGTAGTCCCTATGTCTGGTAGGGAGAAACACCTGTGGGGACTCCCATTAGGCAAGGGAGATTCGGCAGGAGGAGCTCCAGGGACAGCAGCCAGACAGCCAGGGGAGGCACCAGACTGGGGGGAAAGCAGATCTATTAGCATAATAGCAACGCATGTCAGAGATCAGCTGGAAGCGCAACACGCAAGCACATGCAAGAAGAAACGCGGCAGCCTGGGAACGGGTGCCCCACCCTCAGGGCCTTATATATATATGCTTGTGTGTTGTTTTCATTTTGCTTCCCTATGTCTGGAGCAAACCTCATTTCTCAAGCTCCATCCCCAGGGCTGCAAATCCTCCGTAGACAACAACCAGGCTGAGCATATTTACACTGGGCTAAAATGCCACTTCTAGATCACCAACAACTCCACACACACACACACACACACCCGGTCTGAGAAAGGAGCTGCCTCTTTCCTGTTTCTGTACACACTGGCGCAGTTAAATAGGACGGGCGGAGTGCAGAGAGGTTGGGGAAGAAAGATTCGCACAGGCTTGGGAGTCCAATGAGCAGGAAGACCATCCAGCCTCTTCTTCTTGTTGGGGTTCTTCAGCATCTCTTCTGGCTGCAGCTTCAGCCGGCAAAGATCCCGGCTGTTGTTGACTGCCAACGAGGCGTGGAAAGCACATCGTTGGCTGAAGTGGGAAGCCAACAAGCCCCAAGGGAAGTTACCACGTCTCCGTTTTGCTCTTTGTCGCCATGGGGAGCTCCAGATGTTCAAGGAGGAAGGGCTGGCCAAACCGAGGGGGAGGGGGAAAGAAAAGTTGCCTGTCTCAGAAGAAATCCAGAAGGAGCAAACCACGAGGAAGAGGAGAGCAGAGGTGGAGTAGAAGTCACAAGTCGTCTCCACAGCAGAAGGTCTCTCAGGTGCGGACTTGGAACTTCCCCGCCTTGGTCATGTACTTGATTCCTTTGAAAGGCTTGTATTTTTCTCCGTACATGTCTAAACGATTCACCTTCAGACCTGGAACGAGCAGAAAAGGAGGTGAAGCAGATGTGGAAGATGTTGTAGGACGTGGCTGCAAAAAACTGGGCACAGGTTTCACCCCAAAAAACGTTTTCCAAAATATTCCGCCAATTGTGGCTGAAGAAAATGGGTGGAGATAACTTCTCTGAACTTCTTCAGAGAAGGAAAACAATCATTTGTTTTCACAATTCCTCACAACACCAACCATGACGGGACTGGAGTTTCCTTGGAGGATTTCTCTAGAGCAGGATTTTCCAAACTTGGCAACTGGAAGACTTGTGGGCTTCAACTCCCAGAACTGCCCAGCCAGCATGATTAGCTGAGGAATTCTGGATGCTGAAAGTCCACAAATCTTAAAGTTGCTAAGTTTGGAGACCTCTGCTTAATGAAAGTGTATGAACTAGGAGAGGCCCCAGATCCTTGGAAATGGATGCAAAGCTTGTTCCAACTTATATGGCTGCCCTGCCTCTTTTAAAAAAGAAATGCAAGAACATAACACTCTAAAAATACATTTTTTTCCAAATGTCCTGAAGGAAATTCTGAAAGGAAACACTCTTTTATCACACTAAGAACTGATTGAAAACACGAGAGCTGGGCTCTCTGCATAAAATGAATATGATTTGTGGTTTTAATAATAGAAGGAAGAGAGTCATGGTGCCGTTTTAGGGAAAAAAGATAAATTTGACTGTAAATGACGTAATTGTACAGTCATAGCTCAGTACTCAACTATTTTGAAACTCATCAAATTTGGTACTCGACTCATTTTGACTCCAAAATTTTGTCCTAGTACTCGTTGTTTGTTTGGTACTTGATGCACAAACGAGAATTTGTTGATGTCGGTTGCCTTGTAACTCGCTACCCTTTCCAGCCAAAACAATGGGCGACATGCTAGTCACGTGGTTTGTTTGGTGCTTGTCATTTTTAATATTCATCACACCATCCCAGAACTAATGAATGGGGAGTACTGAGGTATCACTGCATTAAGGCTGCTGTAAAGATTGGAAGTCACTTTTCTCTGAATCTTTCTTTCTTGCACTTTTAGCTTCCTCTTCGGTTTATTTATTTTTCTTCCTTTACATTAGTCCGTATTCATTATTTTACTTTTGGTTTTAAAACGTTTAATCAAGGTATGTCCAAAAAAGGCAGGGGAATTATCCTGCTCAATGCTAACTTTTAGCGGCACATGGTCTCTGAGATACTGGGGGCCAGAGACCCAGGGCCAGCACAGCCAAGGGAACAAAATCCAGCCAAATATTAATTGTGAATATTGTGGTTCACAAGTTAACATAGGATGCAGCCAAGAATGCACCGTCACCGCAAATCTTGCCCAATGCTTAGGCAGCCCATTTGTCCAGCGTGTCTTTAATAATGACATTTAAATTCCTTTGCTTAATGGCAGCTGGGGCTTTAAAAGTGTGCTTTAAAAAAAAGTAAAGGCGGGGAGGAATAAAAGACAGATAGAGAATTGGAAGATCACAAACCGGAGATCGCCAACTGCTGGATTTTGAACTGGAGGTTAATGGTGGGATTCTCATCAGGCTTGGAGGCCCCGGCCTGAAGACCCATCGTCCCCTTCAAGCTGGGCAGCTTTTGAGGGTTGATCTTCCCCACGTCCCACATCAGCAGCTTTCAAGGGAAGGGTGGAGAAAGAAAGAGATGACAAGATAAACGTCCATGGAGATTCTCCGTCGTCCGGGTCCTGCTTATCCCAAAGGTGCCTTTTTTTTTTTTTTTTTCAGGAGGCAACTGGACTTTCTCGTTTTTTTCTTTGAAGACATTTCACTTCTCCTCCAAGAAGCTTCTTCAGCTCTGGCTGGATGGTGGGGAAGGGAAGGATTTATATTCCTTGCAGACAGCTCTGGTCATTTGCATTCTGCAATATAAATCCTTCCCTTTCCCAACATCCAGCTTCTTGGATGAGAAGAAGATGAAGAAGATGAAGATGAAGATGAAGATGAAGATGAAGATGAAGATGAAGATGAAGAAGAAGAAGAAGAAGAAGAAGAAGAAGAAGAAGAAACAACAACTAAATGAAGAAAGCAAAATATTATTAAAATATTATCAACGACTGCAGTGATTCAGTTCACAGCGGTGGCAAGAAAGGTTTTGAACATGCGACGAAACTCACCTCGCGACTGTCTGACTTAGCAACAGAAATGTGAGGCTCAATTGTAGTCGTAACTCAAGGACTACCTGTGATCCATCTCTGTGGCCATGTCTTCCTTTACCCCCACCCCCCACCCCCACAGCCAACCCACTAAAGAAGACAGCCCTCTCTAATAAAAAAGCTTCTGTTTTGACCAAGGCTTCCTGAGACCATAATTAAGCACATGCTTAGTTAAAACAACTCTTATTTTATTTCAGCTCATTTGTAATGAGTCCCAAACAGTCCCTCGAGACAAGCACCCTCCTTTCTCTCCTTTGAATTGCTGCCAACAACTAAAGTGCCAAATTAACGGTAAAAAAACAACCGAAGTACAAAGTCCACACAGAGCTTCAATCTGAACAGAACGAACGACTTTGCTTCCTGCAAAGGCTTCATCACCTTTGCCTGTCCTTTATACCTTATGGGAGGGGCAATCACCTCCCAGCCTTACTCCTGAGTGGCCCCTTTTGTCTCAGCTGCTCTTGCCTTCTGGCAGCTCTGTGCACATGCACACTGGGAACAGGCTCCCCTTGTTCCTCTGCCTCGCTGGTGCCAGACTCCAAAGGGTCCAGAGTCAGCACCCCACTCCCAGATGGTGCTGGCTCCATCTCTGCATCGGATGCAGGACCCTCATGAGAGTCCTCCCAAGACTCCTGGACTGGTTCCCATTCTTCCCCACTGTCTGATTCCACTGCTGTCTGCACAGGCTGCCGGCGAACCACAACAGCTACCAATTAAACCAGTTTATTGCTCAACAGCCTACACACAGGAATCTTCCCTACTAACAGGGCCTCATCCGCTTGTGACCACGTAAGGATTCTAGGCTGATCCCTCTTTTAACCCCCCCCCCCCCCCCCCAGATTCTGCCACTCCCTCTCCCACAACAGGAAAAGAGGACAGGCTCATCCCAAGAACCAGACTCGGCGGAAGGTTCTATATTTCCTCACCTTTGTGACAGGATCAAACGTGTGTGTCCCCTGAGAAGGTGTGAGGGTCATGTTAAGCACCCCTTTGGGCATCTGGCTGGTGACCAGTACCCCCTCCACCGTCTTCCCCATGGTCTGTTTGGGCCCCACGGTGATCTCAAAGCGGCCGAGGGAGCTGCTGTCTCGGAAGCTGATGTTGTGCTTTACGTAGACTGGGATGGCCACTAAACTGTGGAAAAAGAAGAGCGTCATCATGGCAAAGGGAGTTGTAGCCCACTAATCCGAGTTTGCCCTGGCTTAACCCCGCTCCTTTCAGGAAACTGCTGTCAGTGTCCCAGAAAACCTCCACTGTAACCAATAACTCCGAGACAGGCATTATCTCAACAGTTCTTTTTATTTCGGATAGTAAACTGGCACAATTGGGGAATCCCGAATCTGAAAGTTCCGTGCTTCCTTGCAATAAGTAAAAATTACAAATCCACCCCCTGCACCCATCATCACACCACATGCCCCAATCACTATCCGTCCCAACTTGAGACTTCCCCTCACTTATGTGCAGAAATAACATGACCTTGACTTACAAAAAAAATGTTATTATGTCTAACTACATACACACCAAGAAATTCCCCCCTACCATTTTCCCAGGCTCAAAATGTGGCAGCGTGGGAGCAACTGGTCTCAATATGGCTTCCAATATGGCTGACAACTGCTTGAATTCCAACATGGCCAGCTGAGGAATTCTGGGAGTTGAAGTCCACAGGTCTTAAATTTGCCCAATTTGGAGACCACTGCACTATGACATGTTTGGGAGACACTCATCTGTAGGGACTGTACCAAGAAGATGTGAGATGATGTCGGGCCTGATATGAAGCCAAAGGTAGAATTCTCTAGCAGAAGATCCCAAGGAGCCATCTTTTGTACTCTTACCCAAGTTTAGTTTAGTTTAGTTTAGTTTATTGTCATTGCACCTCGTACAACAAAATCAAACCCCATCTTCAGTGCACATCATGACCATGAAAATAAACACAAACACACATCCTTCACGCTCCACATATTGAACCGAAAACCCCCAACACCACACCAACACTGCACTACACAGTAGAATTCAAAAGAGCTCCTGCCCTGGGATAGAAGCTGTTTTCCAGCCTATTTGTCCTTGTTTTTATTATTCTGTACCATCTGCCAGATGGTAATAGTTCCAAAAAAGGCTGCCCGGGGTGAGAATGTTTTGAACTTTCTCAAGGCAGCAGGAGCTCTAAAGCTCTTCCAAAGAGGGGAGAGGGCAACCCATGATCCTCTGGGCATTGACGTTCACCCTCTGGAGTGCTGTCCTATCGGCCCCTGTGCAATTGGCAAACCATACAGAGGTGCAGTAAGTTAAGATACTCTCTGTGGTGCAGCGGTAGAAGGTTACCAATAGTTTTTTCATTCAGTTGTTGTTTTCTGAGAAAGTCCAAAACTCTGGAAGAATCCATCTTACTTTTGAGCGCTGACGTGATAAGAGAGCAAGCGGAAGTTGCCATCGGGAGGGATGAAGGACAGGATGCGTTCGGATTCCCACCGCTTGAAACGCACACAGGGGTGGAAGCTGACATCGTCCAACAATCTTGGGTTCTGAAAAGAGGAAGGATAAAAAGAGCTGGAAGTTCCTTGGCTGGTGGGGCTATTCTAGGGCTTCTCAACCTTGGCAACTTTAAGACTTCAACTCACAGCTTTGCTGGCTGGGGAATTCTGGGAACTGAAGTCCACAGTCTTAAAAGTTGCCAAGATGGAGATACAGTGAACTATTCCAGAGGTCTCCAACCTTGTCAACTTTAAGACTTGTGGACTTCAACTCCCAGAATTCTCCAGCCAGCAGAGCTGGCTG